CATAAGAAAATGTAAAATATCAGTGTGATGTATCATTGACACAATGTTCATCCAACACATATACAATGTATGAATTAAAGATCATTGCCAGGATCAATAAATGACTATGTCTGTTGAACTTGGCAACATGCACACATGGCACCACCAACATTTCTGGTACATGGTACAGATGCTAATACAAGATGGCAAGTGGAACCATGTTGAGCATTAATAGACATTATTATAACATGGACATCCAACATGCCATGCTACAGCCAATAGCCATATTTATCACATGACAACATGCTGTACTTGGTAAGTTGTGAACTTGGGATCACTTGAATCAAGGTACTTGGCACACATGCAAATATAAGATGGCAAGTATGCCAATGCAACATGTATAAATCAACATGCACATCCAACATGCGAACATGGCAGTACTCACAAATTCTGATACAAGTACACATGCTAAAACAAGATGCCATGTCCAACCAAAATAGTACATGTTCCAATCTAGAATAAATCTTGAATTATCACTTGCACATTCAACATGCCATGTTGAGCCAGTTGCTCTGTCTTTCACATGCTAGACCAGTAGCATCTTGTCAGAAAGGTACTTGCTAAAATATTGCCATGTTACAAACAAGTATATGCCAAGTGACTGCATCTTGTAGATATTACCACTTGGCAACATGGCAGAACATGGCATGTTTGGACCCGGTGGCCATAAATGGCCTCGATGTGTAAAGAACGAAAATGTGCAACGTCTTCTAGGAACTTATATGCTACTTATGAGCAACGTGACATGGACGTCACTGTTTGCTGGATCGATTATTTTAAAAAGCTGTGTCTCGTACAGGGTAAAACTATCGAACAGCAGTGCATTGTTGGGCAAAATTTCTAGTCCCTGAGATTTGGCTGGTACTATAAGTCTATAAGAGAACTCCAGACAAACTGCAAATAAAATTTTATTTTTGACTTAAAAATATTGAATATCATAATTCTTTAAGACCTAGGATGAAGAAAATACTTTTCTTCATCCTAGTTTAGACCTAGCTTTGACTTTTTGACATTGCTACCAAAACAATTTTCCACCTTGAAGGACCATAAACAGTAGTAGATCACTAAATTCTGGCCAGAGGTAGAATAAACAAGGCACAGGATGAACAAGAACGTACCTAAAACATAGCAGTGTGGGCTTGATGACCCAGAAAGCAAGATGGCCGCCGAAAAGTTAATCAGTTCTAGAACTTCTTACCATGTACCATGTGTAAAAATTTGAAGTAAATCCATAAAGTGGTTTTCCTGGAATCGCGATGACAAGATTTATCGAATAAAAACTTCCAAGATGGCCACAAAAAATTAATCAGCTCTAGAACTTTATACCATGTAATATGTGTGAAAATATGAGTAAATTCGTTTAGTGGTTTTCCTGGAATCGCAATGACAAGATTTATCTAGAAATTTCCAAGATGGCCGCCGAAAACTTAATCAGCTCTAGAACTTCTTACCATGTAACATGTGTGAAAATATGAAGTAAATCCGTTCAGTGGTTTTCCTGGAATCGCGATGACAAGATTTATCTAAAAACTTTCAAAATGGCCGCCAGAATGCAAGATGGCCGCCGAAAAGTTAATCAGCTCTAGAACTTCTTACCATGTAATATGTGTAAAAATTTGAAGTAAATCCGTCGGGTGGTTTTCCCGGAATCGTGATGACAAGAAAGTGAGACGCCGCCCGCCCGTCAAGCTGACGACAATATCGCACCTTTTTAGGTAAGATAATAAAAAGGTGTGTTGGAGAATATCAAGTAAAAATATCGAAAAAAGTAATAAGAAGACCCCAGGAGAGGAAGTGTCAACAATAACTATTTTTTAATTAGGCCTACTTGAACAAACATTTTTTCTTGATAATTGGAGGTAAATTATAACAATAATAGTACATAATACTAGGCATTATTCTTATTGCATTCAAAAAGGGTTTGCTCCAGCTCGTTCATGTGGAGTAGTATCAGGGCCTTTATAATTCAGTACATTTGTGATGTGAATGTAGGCTAACGGTTTGTCACTGTTTCAATAAATACATGTATGTTTAAGCGGCATTTTGATGTTGGGTCCCCCAGCTGAGAGAAGCGCTTCTTACAACTGGGGACACAAACGCTGCTAAAAGGAGGGACTCTGTACAGGAGTTGTATAATAGAATATTCTACCAACAAAAAGGCATTTTTGTTTTGCTTTGTATGGAACAATTTTGACGAAAATGGAAAAAACGGCATAGTATGAGACTCACAATCCTCGATTTTCAAACATCTGGTCTAAAATTCAAATTAATGGTTATTTTTGTTGATACTTGGACTGTTGGAACCCATGAATATAGTAAATAAAGAACATCCTCTTAATGTACTTTACACTTAAAGGCTGAGAGCGGGTATAAAAGGCAGATGGAACAGCCCACACCACCCAAATATGGCAGTTTAAATGTCCAGTTCAAACAAAATGAGAAAATATTCAAACTTTCTACTATAACAAGATTGTTACCATGAGTTCCAAGCTCTCTGAAACTATCATGACTATAAATTTCAAATCAAATTCTAAAATGTTTTTTTAGTTTTTGTGAAATAAGACAATTTCCTTTTTGTAAATATGCTCATTAGTATAACTGAAAATTTAAATTTCAACCAATGGTCATCTCTTATCTGTTCAGAAGTAAACAAACATAGCATTAGGCTGTAGCTCTCTTGTAGCAGACCATGTGTTTCTGTATATGCTGGACATTTAAACTGGCCACATTAGCACTGATTGGCTGAACAGTGACAGCTTGATTAATAGCTTCACCCGGGTCCAAATCTCTGGGCCTTTAAATTCAAAATAATTTGTATTGCATGCATTATTATATGTTACATAATGATATTTTTGTTGAAAAACATCCTTATTATTATAGAACCCTGGATCATTGCAAACTATGTACTCGAAAAATGTGACATGTTAAAGCATGTTATTATATGTCTCTGGTTAGAGTAAGGAAGGGATATTTATTTTAAAAATATATAGACTACAAGGGAACCAGAAATCATTTTATAGATTCTTAGATACTAGTATTAAATATCAACACTCATTCATTTTGCCTGCTTACATGTAAATCAATTAATAAAATATCATTTAAAAGATTCTGATAGTGGGTTATCTCATGATTACAACTGAACTGTTGAATTGGCACAATAAGTTGTGCTACTTTTAAGTTTCTGTACATCTTGTAAAGTTAGGTATCAATCCCGGGGTATCAATTCTGTATGATTCAATGTTATTTACAAGCAATTTGTTCAAACTACAGACTGACTTAATGAAGAACTTGTATTTACAATTACGTAAAAGATGTAAACAGTGACCAGTTTTGGAAAAACAAAACCCATTGAATGTTTCAAAAACGTCTGTCAGCTTTGAAAAAACTGAAGTCGTCTTTCATGAAGTGTTAATTGCATGTTTGGGGATTTTCTGCTAAAATATCAAAACTTGATCCACATATATTATTCATATTCTTATACATTCAACTTTTCCCGTGTTAAGTCAATGCACCATCATGCACACACGGTCAATCAACTCTTTAACAGTCTGTTTTGTCTGTTTCAAACAAACAGCAATCATAGTTTGGGTAAAAACAAATTTCATAATATGCAATATGTATTTATTCTGAGTGTACCGACCTTGGGGAAGGTACAATAATAAGCAAAGCTTTATGTTTGTTTTTTCTTGATTGGTAGTTGCAACGTCAACGCGGCAGCCTGACGTATTTGCAACAAACGATTATATCTCCTAAGCAGCTATAAATACATTTTAGTATTACTCGCATATTTGTATTTATATTTATGTTCACTTACTATACACAATAATTTAGAATTGCACCATAGGGCAACACCACCTTTCTTCAATTTACAAAAATTGTATATTTCTTTTACTAACTTACAAGATATTGAAAGCATCTCATACTTTCATACAGTACCGACTTTGGGGAAGGTATGATGATACGCTATGTCTTCCTTTTTATCTTTATAGAAAATGCAGATCCATAATGTCATTATTTATTAATCTCAAGAGTGTTAGGTAACAGGTCTATCTAGGCCTACGGCGTGCGTCTACGCGGTAGCTAGGCGTCGTCGTCAGTACAAAAACAACAACAAAACAATGAATGTTTGTAAAATATAGTCATTTTTTATAATTGCGTTACAATTAGGTTCTAGGCCAATTTTGGTCGGCGGCGTGCGTCTACGCGGTAGCTAGGCGTCGTCGTCAGTCAAAAACAGCAATATTGTTTGTTTGTAAATAGTGATTATTTTTAATTTAACATTTACATAATTTGTATACATGTATCTCCTTTATATAAAGGGCAATAAATATATACATACATACATACATACACATAACCAGTTTCATTCCTATTCCCAATCCTATGTAAAGCCAATTACCACATGTATGTTGTAACTTGTTGATTTAATAGCAAGGTGAACATCCTCTGAAAGCCACAGACATTATTTGATAGGTAATTACATGTAGGTACAATAGTACGGTACTTGATAGCCTTGTGAAAAACTATAGACTTAGGTACACTTTTTATCTATAAGCTCACTACTACTTTTACCTAGGCCTATGTAAAAACCCTTCATAGTCACGTGAACAAAATTTAATTGTGAATAGAGTGGAGAGGTGCCCAATTGGAGCATGTTTTGTAAAGAACTGTAATTTTGAACTCAATAGGCATGTTACCATCGAACTTTCAAGACAAAATTCACACTCAATAATTCTAAACTTTCAAGGCAGAATATTCAAGATTTACAGAGCAAATCAACTTTTTCTTCGATCCTGTTTTCGAACACCTTGTATATGCTAGATGAATGAAAGATTGTTGGTAGCAATTTATCAAAGCAAAAATATGATTACATGTAACTTAGGCCTATTGCTCATTTTTAGAAAAGTACAACCTCTGACTTCATCTGCACAAGATGACGACAATATATCACTTTTTCAAAGTGCGATTATAAATCCAACTCATGGCTTCATTTCATAACTTTTTGATGTACCAAAACGTGGCAGGGTTTATACTCTTTGGGTAGATGTAAAAATTCCAATTTTAGTAAATAAATAAAAATATAAAAATAAATAAAACACAATAGATGGGCAATTGCATACACAAAACAAAAAGGCAGGATGGGCCATCAGAACTTCATATCCAAAGTGAAATTGATACAAGAGCCAGACTCACATCGTAATCCGTCCCCTTAATGTTTCCAATAATACTTGAATTTTTGAGACATCACATAATGATCGCATAAGATCATGTCTCTTAAAATGTTTAACGTTGATTCCAATGCTCTTCCCAGCAAGATGATCCTCAATTGTACTACATATTACCATAAAGTACCATAAATAGAGATATGGTACCACCTAATACACTCTAAGATATATCTATTGTCTTTCTGGGTACACGCTTTTCTCTGTGAACATTGAATGAGGAAAGTATAATTTCAATACAATTTAAACTGTAACTTCTATACAATTTAAAGTATAATTTCTATACAATTTAGAGCGTACACTGTACATGTATACTTGTTTTATCAAATTCTTAGGACATCAACTCTTTTCCACTCCATTATGCATTTAACGCATGCAACTAGAACTCCTCTGCCCATGGGTTTTCTTCTAAATAGCTGTCTATTACATCTTTCATTGCAAGGTTAGGTATCAAACTGTCTTGTGTTAAATCAGTCCGTGTTACAGGATCAAAATGTCCAACTCTCTGGAAATCGAAAGAGTTAAAACATTAAATGTTTATTACTATTTTACAATCAATTCTGAAGGTGTATAGCTATGTACATACATACTAATACTTGTGAACTTGGAACAGCATTTTAAATCATTAACATTGACATACATTTGAAATGAAATAAGAACCTCCATAATAGTATATGCAATTTTCGAAAGAGAACAAACTATGAGATAATTTTAGTATGATTATACATGTACATTTAGGCTGAATAAATTGCATATAAATGCTGTAATTTAGCATATGAAATATTGCAAATAACAAAACCCTGGATCAGATCATCATATTGGACCTTGGTTATACGCTATTAGGTACTGTGTACAGAGAGTCGAGTCTTGAACAAAACATTATTAAGCAGTTAACAGGTTTAAGTATATGCTTATCAATCTAAGACTTAAATGTATGGCAAACCATACCAGGGGCTTAATTAGAATTTCTGAGGACATCCATAAAGAATGAAAACAACAGGCACAATTATATGAAATAAATTATCCTTTTTAGATAAAACAGTTCTTATGACCTCCCTCCATATCACTCCCTACCTGTAAATGATATCACTCCCTACCTGTAAATGATATCACTTCATACCTGTAAATGATATCACTCCCTACCTGTAAATGCTCCTCTATATCTTTCCTGTCGTATGTTATTCCACTTGGAGTTATCACAGGGTCATGCATCAGATCAAAACTGATTTTTCCGCATAAGTAATCTGGAATGTCTCGCTTCTGAAAATACAATAAATAGTACCATGGGAACAGGACTCACATTGTGTACAGGTGCCATATTTTGACCATTTTGGTTTTTCTGCAATGAAAGGGGTTGTTATAATACAGTAAGTGATTTTAAAAGTGCTCCAAGGAACAACCAGAACAACGGCAATGCCAAAGCGTAGCGAATCCCATCGAACAGCCATGGCTGGCATTTTTACAAACAAAGTATATAGCAAAAATGGCAGCCATTTTGAAAAATGGCCGCCTTCTACCAAAAGTGTCATTAGACAGTGTGCCATGCTTATAGTATTCACATACCAAATATGAACAAAATCGCTCCACTACTTTTCGAGTTATAGTAAAAAAAGTTAAAATGGCGGCCATTTTTCAAAATGGCCGCCTTCTACCAAAAGTGTCATTAGACAGTGTGCCATGCTTATAGTATTCACATACCAAATATGAACAAAATCGCTCCACTACTTTTCGAGTTACAGCAAAAATCGTAAAATAACGAGTAAAGGCCGCCATTTTTCAAGATTGCTGCCACGTGCTTTTTTAATATCTACATTTCTAGCTTTATTAATGTCCTACATAATTTTTTTACATTTAAAACATATTGCTATTACAGTTTTAACATATTGCACCTAAATTACTGTAAAATCGGCACTAAAATGGCCGCCATTTTTAAATGAGTGGCCATTTTGAAAATCGGCTTTCGAGCAGAACTTCTACCCCCATAGGGTATATGTGTACAAAATATGAACAAAATTGGGCCAACGGTATTTGAGTTATTGCCCGGACGGACGGACGGATGTACGTACGTACGGACAGACGGAGGCGTTCCCTATATCCCTCCGAACTTCGTTCAATGGGATAATAACTTATATTTTAACCAATTTCAAATAATGTATATGTTCAATGTATACGAATCATTACAGTCGGTGAAAAGTGATGAAGAATCTACATGTACAGTGTAACCAATCAGAAATGTGCTTTATGATTGAAATTCATAAGAATATTAGGGACAACTAATGGATGTCACTACATGTATGTCTAAATGTCAAATTGGGTTTTATAATCAAGTTTTGTATGTGCCATCATCAGTTGGCACCATTGTGTTATTACCAAGGTTCCACTGGGGAGTTACAAGTTGCACCACCAGGTGGCTTACATGGGTCAGATAACATGCCAGGCATCGAAAAGTTCCCGAGACTTGAGTAATTAATAGATATCGTTAATCAAATTAATCAAATTTCATCTAACCTTTTAAAATATATTCAGTACAAGAAATGGAGAAGTGTTCCATTGAAAGATTAGAGAAATATTCAGATATGCAGGTCCTTCTCTATGTCTAAACATTTAATTATACCATAAAAATTGTATGAAAAACATCACGTTTTGAAAAACAACCAATAACAGATCTCATGGCAAACATGTTTACTAGAAAGAAGGAAATATATAACGACATGATAATGTATTGCTGTTGTAAAAGATATCAATAAAGAGGGTTGTCTTGTATAATTTGTTTTTTTTCAAATTTTGTTGCTTGTTTTTCTCAGTACAGATTATTCAGATATTAAAAGCCTGCAGTGTCAAAGTCTAGTCCATCAGGGGGTCATTAACAGTTTGGATGAGTCTGGGAATGAGTCTGGGTATCGACTTAGAAAATATTGAAAATTATAATGTCTGAAAAACCAACTCAATCACACATATTATTAAACTTCAATATCTTTCCTTCTTCTGAGATTACAAAAATATCAATTTGTATCACAATTGATGAAGAATATTGGCATTGTTGTTGATGTTACACAATATTTCAGTCAAATTCATGCTGAGCACAACATTTTGGTTTCAATTTTATAATCTCTATACATGACCCTTGTGATGAAGAGTCAGAATCAGTCAAAAAACCTAAACCGGAAAACTGTGCTCATTGTGAAAACTAAAAGTGAAGCAACTTTTTTTCTGATATTTCTTACATCAAATGGCAACCATCTTGTTTTTCCCCCTCAAATTAAACTGGCGGGAAATTCAAAGATTTGAAAAAAAATTTAATCCTAAAATATATTTCAAAAATATGATTTTCTTTTTAATTCTTCATGGATCTTAAGTTATTTCTTCTTTGTATGTCATACATGTTGCCATTGGTGTTTTTTCTATGATAATGACTATTTTTTGTTTTGTTAAGATACTTATTCTGACTCTCAGCAGGGGGTTAATTATGCATCAAAACTCGTGAAAAAGTAAATATACTTATTAAATATAACTAACATACGAGGGGTGATCAATAAGTAATGGACGCTTTTTTACACAGATGCTTTTTATGGACCAATACCTTCGATTTTCTTACCAGTGATACATCATTCAATTATCTATCAACTCTGAAGATTTCAAAACAAAACATGTAATATATTTTGATATATCTTTATTTCCGTGAAGGAGGTATAGGTACCCCGGGACCGACATTACGTCAAACATTCTGAAGCTATTTTAGCTTGTTTAACATGCAACACAGTTGAATGCAGGCGGAACAAAACAAACCATTATGGTCATGAATTACCCCATTTTGTTATGCCATGGATGATTTTGAATATTTTATCATCACCATGTGGTATTCATGCCACATTCATTCTACAGGGCCCTCTACATAGGTTCCATCAAGTGCTACATGTACACAATTCCTCATCCTCTTAACTCAAGATTGTGAGGCAAGGCTGAATCCATTCTCCGACATGGTAGCAAGATGCAGTTGCACGGGTTGTTTTATTTAATCAATGTCAAAAAACCTGCGTCCCTTCTCTATAGAAATAAGTAGTATAGGAATAAATAAGTCACATGTGGGCAGATCTGGAAAATATGGTGCATTGGCCAAGCTCAATTTTGAGGTCCAGGGATATTGATTCCTGAACATTTTGAGATCTGTGGGCAGGTGCATTGTCCATATGGAGTGGGGTGTGTCCTCTCACCAACCCCTTCTTCCACAATGCTTTCTCAAATTGACCTGCAAACACCAACCATACAACACTCTAACATCACAATACTTACTGTTTGTGTGTTACCACTCAGCAAAATATTTCAAACAACACCACACTTGTTGCACATAAAAAAAGTTTAAATCTAACTGAAATTTGCCAGACTGGCTAAAAACTGAATATGTGACGTAAATGTCGGTCCCGGGGTACCTGTACCTCCTTCATGGAAATAAGGATATATCAACATGTATTATATATTTTGTCATCAAATCTTCAGAATTGATAGATAATTGAATAATCTATCACTGGTAGGAAAATCAAAGGGATTGGTCCATAAAAAGTATCTGTGTAAAAAAGCGTCCATTACTTATTGATCACCCCTCGTACATTTGACTGAGGGACCAAAAGGGCATATACCCGGACACATCCTTTCACAAAGTTACGAATTCGTAATTCGTAACTTTATGAAATTCGTAAGTATTTAAAAAGTTACGAATGACTTACGAATTCGTAAAGTTACGAATTGGCCATTAACAGAACACTTTCGTAAGTCATTCATAAGTTTTATCGTTCGTAAACGAATTTCAAATTGTGACGTCATCTTATATCATTATTTAGCACAACTAGATAACGGCAACTCCGCGGAATAGCAAATCCCAACGAACAAAATATCAATTACCGAATTCCAATCAATTATACTCATTACTTTGGTTGAAAATGAAAAAATTAGATTTTAGAATTGTGAATTCCTGCAAAGCAGCCATTTTGAATTTTCTGAGGTACAAATCTGAAAAATAATACCATAATCGTGATCTACTCCAAAATTCCTTCAATTTGAGTATAATATAGCCATACTTTTAAGAGATCGAAAAATTATTGCGGAATCGTACATTAGACGGCCATTTTGAATTTTACGAGGCTCCAATCAGAAAAAAGATACAATATTTGCAATCTACTCTTAATTGCTTTTCATTTGAGTATAATAAAGCTATACTTCAGAGAGATCTAAAAATTAGCGAAAATTTCTGTTTTCCTGTCCCCCCATACATGGCCCCTGGGGGTCAGATTAAAAAACACGGAATATATGTGAAATAGATAAATGTTGTGAATACACTACCAAAATTTCAAACAATAATATTAATTACTTTGGTTTAGAATGAAAAATTTATGATTTTTGCGAAAAAGTCCCGTCATTTTTAAAGTCAGTCAGTTAATAATGAGCAAATACCTCTTGTAAATAGCCATAAACATTTAGGCATCATTTTAGACAAACACCTTAGCTTTGAAGAACACATTAACTCAGTGATTACTAGGTGTAATAAAATGTTAAATCCATTAAAAGCACTCAAATTTTCAGTAAGATCAAAACACTTACAGACAATTTACATGGCATTCATTCTCCCACATCTCGAATATGGCAATATTATTTTTGACAGCGCAAATCTAAACCTCTTAGCAAGTTTAGATAGAGTCCAATATAGAGCAGGTCTTATTGTAAGTGGTTGCATCCAAGGGTCAAACTCTGAGAAGGTGATGGCATGTCTTGGATGGAGATCCTTATCCAATCGAAGAAAAGAAAAAAAACTAGTTTTTATGTTTGACTTTGTAAATAATTATAAGATGCCTTCATATGTTTCAAATGTTTTTGAACAGTATAAGAATCAGGTAACCCACCAAAGACTTCGTCGTAGCAATGATTTTAAGATCCCATTCAAAGCATCTGCTAAACTTAGAAAGTTTACAGCTTTATCCAGTATTAAATTATGGGATAATTTACCTGATGAACTGAAACAAGCACACTCACGCAACTCATTTAAGTATAAAATTAGAACATTTTTGAATGGGAAAAAGAAAGAATTCACAACCCCAAGATTAAACCTATCCAGAGATAAAGAAATTGTCTTAAATAAAACGAGATGTGATCTCATTTTTAGGCAGCATCTTTTTACACATAACTTCAAAAATATTCCAAATGCCAAATGTAAATGTGGTCACTCTACTGAATCAACCAAACACCTATTGCTCCATTGCCCTCTTTTTAACACTCAAAGACTCAATTTTCACAGAGAACTAGGGGGACTGCCATCCTTTAATTTAAACTCTTTTAATAATAGAAAACAGGAGGACAGGGTAGACTTTTTACTTTTTGCAGATCCTTCTCTTGACACAATTACAAATAAAAAGGCTATTGAATTAACAGCCGAGTTTTTACACTCTATTGTCAAGGAAGTTAAATAGTCCAATATTCATTAATTTATACATATATCTCTGACCTGTCTTCATGTTTTCAAGATTATTTTCATGTTCATAAATATGTTCTATATCTATCATTTTTACATTATGACCTATTTTAACTTATATTGTAACTACTTCAACAGGGCCAATAATGCTTCGGCGTAGGCCCTGTATCTGTTTGTATGATGTATTATGAAATAAAGGAAATATAAAAATTTAAAAAAAAAAAAAAAAAAATTTTTAAAGCGGCGGCCATCTTGAAAAAAATGCGTAAAACTATTCACCAATATACATCTTTCCACTAAATATGAAGAAAATCTGTCAACTAGTATTTGAGCTGACTGACCGACCGACCGACCGACCGACCGACTGACGGAGGGCTTCACTATATCCCTAACGAACTTCGTTCGTTGGGATAAATAGAAATATGATGTCATTTGATATCATTGTGCGCTGTGATTAAACCTGTCTCCACGATTTCAAAGATTCCCAGCTCAGGAACATATTTGCTTATCATGTAAGAATATGTGGATATTTTAGCTTGAAACTTAGGATGCATATAAAGATTGGCCAACCTGTATCCCTTACATAAGAACTGGATGAGAAATATGCCATTCGCAAAGTTATGAAAGGTGCTATTAAAGTTACGAACGAAAGACTATGTGATGTCATTTTTTCGTAATTTTGCGAATCGTTCGTAACTTTACCAAAGTTCTGTTAATGCACATTTACCAAATTCGTAAAATTAACAATTGACTTGCGAATTCGTAAATTTGCGAAAGTTCTGTTAATGACCCCCAGACAAACAAAATTATGTTGGTCATTATATTTCTTTTAAATAATAGTAGTCTCCAAAGAATTAGATTGATTGGCTAATGATTTGCATAATGGCATAATTATTTTGAGGTAAAATTGTTTTAAAAATGTTAATTGACTTACAGCTCTCCTCTCATCTATTGATGCAAAAAGTGTATTGACCTCCCCGATTCTTTTTTGCTGAAACATAAAAAAATCATTGGGGGTTTAAAATTCATATTGACTGGTTGATGATTTTATAAAAAAAATTATTGTGTGGCTTGATAGGTTAATCTTATTATTTTAACTTACATATTCTTGCTCCACACTTTCCAGTTCTTCAGCTACTGAACTTGGTTCCCCTGATACTTCTTCAATAGCTTGAGTCTGTCTGAAAGCATAAATAGCATGATTGAATCAATGTATACTTATACTGAAGTATATATATTTGGGATGAGGGATGGCTGAATACTAAAAAATAGATTTAGCGAGGATACATTTCAGGAGTGAGGAACACAAAGCAATCATATTTACATCTAATCTAAAAAGCCTCTCAAATCCTAAACATGACATCTACTAATATTTTGGGAAGTTCAAATCAGAAGTTCAAATCTGACTTTTGTTTTCAGATTTGACCTTCACTGACCTTCTCTCAAGATCAAAAAAGGTCAAAAAGGTATTTTTTCAACCTGCTTCAAATTGACCAATTTGTTTTCAAAATCATCTACAAGTTCTCAGAAATTCAAATCTGACTTAAGATTGAACTAATAATATTGTGAGAAACTAGGTGGTGACATTTTGTTGTTGTATTCTTGTTGTTGTTTCTTAGTTCACAACATGCGGTACTGGCTGAGTAATTGATGTTATGAAACTGCAAAACACAACCCTGGATTCTAATTGTTATTTGAAACAAAATTATTTATAATTAGTCAAATTATTTGTGTTACTAAAACAAAGTTCAGTAATTACACATAGGTGGTTTGGAATCTCCATATAATTATGAAGACAAAATTATAGAACATAACAACAATAGTCAAGGTTACTTTTGACACATACTTTATTCATTCAAAGAGCCTTACGAAAGTGAGTAAAAGTGACATAATACTGACAAACCAAAATAAGACTTTTATTCAATCTAAACTGATGATTCCACAGATATTTGGAACGCAGAGTGCCATGAATCTTATTCAAAGGGCTGATGCAAAAATGTCACCTATGTTTACCTATGTGAAGCTTTATATCTGCAAAATTCAGCTTAGCATAACTGACTGAATCAAGTTTAAAAGGTGCCACTTCTTTTCCCTAATTTTTCTCTGAGTATGGCAGCAAGGTATTGCTAACTTTTTTCTGTGAGAGCGAGCTACATGTAATGTTCATCGTTATGAACAGACTGATTGATTATAAAAAATAAGAAGATGTGTTGAGTGAGATGATCCAAATGCTCCTACCTTTCTTTTTCTTCGGTTATAAGTCTATTTAGATATGTTTGTAATTCTATTTCTTGTTGGATTCTTTTTTCTTCTACAGCACTGAATCTTCTCTTCTTAGCTACACGTAATGCAGAACATATATCATCTCCAAAATTCAGTTTTTGTTCCTTTGCTAGCTCATGTGCTGAAGAATACAAGATATTAACAAGACATTTACATGCAAAATTTCACTAACTGCCATTTGTTACAGATAAGACAAACAGATGGATGAACAGATGGCTTCTCTTTATCTAAACCAGACTTCGTTTGGTGGGATAATATCTGACAAAGAGCCAATCTGCAACTGTACTGTACGCTACTGTTTTGGCTATGGTACCGTGAACAATATACTGCACTATACTCAAATGGTACCTGCTCTAAATGTACTGTATGGTACCATGATTCCGGCGTGCAGATTGGGGTGTATACATAAAAGTAGCTTCAATAGAAGTGGAGGGGCCATAGTGTCAGAAGCAATCTTTTCCAAAATCATGCCGATGTTTTCCTTAACCGCTTGACTAGCCAGAATGATGAGATAATCTGTCACAAAAATTGCTTAAATTCGAACAAGTTTGATCCAATTAATTTCACTAAATTGAGCATCGCCTGTTGTATATGTATGTAGTAATATGTCAAAAGCTGGCAAAAATGAAAAATTCTCTGGTTTGAGAGAATTTTGGATTTTAAACCTGGGATTATAGAGGTTAAAATTCTTCTACTTTCTGAGAAATCGGTATGAAAACACAAATAGAAGTCACTGAAAATAAAAGGACTGTCTGTATCCTTTTTCAATATTCTCCCAAATAACCTTCCAAACTGAAGTCAAAAGGGTTGGACATTTTGTAAAATAGGCATAACATGACACAATGTGAGTATTCAGGTATAGTATACAGGGCTCTCACCAGGAAATATTTAGGGTGTGGTCCTAACATCTTCAGAATAACCGTTCAATCATGATAAATCATATTTATGTTATATTTTATTCTTTTTACATGCTATTATTGTATATTCAGTCAAGTTTAGACAGTGGAAACAGTCATGATTTGCTAATAGGGTTTGGAGGGAGCTAAATAAAGTGTGGTGCTGCACCACAGTTTAAAAGCCTGACGTTAACCCTGGTATAATATTATTGGAAAATGTTTTTTAACTTCCTCTCAACTTGTCTTTTACCCCTCTAATGCCTTAAGAAAGGATACAATTTTCAGGAGCTTGTCCAACAATCAAGCATACCTCTCATTAAGCTGCTGATAGCTTCATCATATGCCCCTAGCTCTAATAAGGACTGTCCATTGAAGAAATGACCTTTCACAAGTAATTTGTCCATCTCAATAGCTCTCCTGCAGTCTGAGGCAGCAAGTTCCCATTGGGAGAGTTTAAGGTAGCATAAAGCTCTGTTGGTGAAGAATGTTGGCACATTTGGACTCTTCATCTGAAGAAAAATAATAGAACTTATAAAATCCATTAATAGCCATAGAGTCCAGATCTTAATGTATTATTCATATTCTGTCTGCCTCTTAAGGGAATTGATTGTACTTTGTACAGAAAATTATTGTATACCTGTAAATAAACCTCCTTTTTTAACATTTGCCAGAAATTTAAAGTTGTTTTAAAAAGTTGTTATAATGTTTTAAAATCTTGATCATGAGATATATCCCCGGGATGACCCATTCCAGTAATATGTGGCCTTGCATTAAATGTCTTTAACTGGAGAAATAGGATATTACAAACAGCACTGACCTCCAAAGTTTGTGTAGAACTAAAATAGCCATAGCCAAAAAGTGAAATTGGTTCTTATAATCCACAATCGTTTTCTTTACAAAGTACAATTCCCTAGAGAATGTATGTTGAATTATTGCAAGCCGAACTAGCTGGAAAACATTATCTCGATTTCCAAATGGGGAGGTCAACAATCTTGCAGAAATGATCAATTACACTTTGTATGTCAACAAACTCAGTGCCATGGATTAGATCACTTGGATAGGGTGTAACTCAGTCCATACATGGTCTACATGTACAGCTTTCAGTTCTGCACAAAGTGGACATACCTACATAAAGATAATAAAGGTTAGTGAATTTTACACATACACTGTATCTAAATAAGGAAACAAATCAGTGACTTTTTAAAAATAGGCCACTAAATTTTCTAACCCTCAACTAATAATCTATAGTACATTTTGTGCACTCTTTAAAAGCGATGTAGACAATATTGTGAATGAGTTCCTGATAATAACATGGAACTCCAATTAGGAAGCCATTAAAATATCAGAATATACAATATTACCTTAATGGCATCCTTTTGCTCTAATTCTAAATGGAAATTATATAGAAGACTGACTTTTGACAAAACACACTATAATTTCCCTCCTTCTTTTACTTAAGATGGCCTATAATGCTGCTTATTTTTTCGTGAAGCCACTCAGTGAAATTACAATTTCACTGCACCCTGATGTCCAATCAACATCATCCGAGTATCTATGTGTTCCTGGCATCCGGTAATGACATCGTCTTCCCAATGTTTGCACGCGAAATTGACGTAATTCATGACCGAAACCGGGAAGGGCACTTTTGCAATCACGACAAATTGACATCCTTTTACAGCAACCTCTATAATATCCATGATGAGTGTCTCATTATTTTAAGAATTGTATTTTATTATTACGATTACCAATCTCAATTCTAGTATTTAGATATATCTATCTGTGGTGATGCTATGAACTTATTGTAGTAGGTTCGGTGTATTTCACATAGTATATCATCTACCAAATAAAAATGGTAATATTAGCTTTTTTAATTTCTTAAAAAAATCGTCGTGATTTTCTGCAAAAATTCACATCCAAGAAATTATCATTTGAGTAATCAGGCCATTTAAAAATCAAAACTTTGTAGGTTTGTAATTAAAAAAAATTGTACAAAAACTAAGTGTGTGAATGTTAAATTAAATGTGTAATTTAATTAAATAATATCAATCAATAACTGCTGCTGCTGATTTGGTTGCTTTTTTGTGACCGTGGGTTGCTCGCTAAAAGCCAGCTGGACACAATTGCACAAGCAGATTGTTTTGTCAATAAGATATTTTTGTACATTGTCAGAAAATTTTAGAGACAATCATTATTACTGAACACAGCTGAGCCAGCTGAGTAAAAAGTACAAATAGATCGTTTTGGGTAGTCGTCGGTAAACTTCCAGCCAGCGTGCTATGTGGATACGTGGTGACATTGAGCTATTAGAGCAGAGATTTATATTTTGCCTGAAGCGAGCCTGTCTCTTTTTCTTACAGTATACAGTTATTGCCGATTTAAACCTTGTTTCCATGCCTGATGGTTTATTTATAATTTATTTACATTCAGTCAGTCTAACTCTAAATTGAATATGCGCTTAACTCACGATTGCTTTTGTGTAACATCCAACTGCGTCATTATACTTCCGGGCAGCAAAGTATCTATTACCCTGGTCCTTCAGTTCCATGGTGTCCTTCAACTTTAATACTGCATTTGCTTGAGAAAAGAAAAAATAACAAAAAAGTTGGATTTTTTCAAAACGGAAGTGAATTTTAGCACATGCGCAAAGAAGTGCGCTGAACGAAAAAGCAAATAACTATACGGGTGGCAAACGGTAAAACGAGTACACTATAGCCTACTGCTTGCCTGTCACGAGTCACCATACGTGGATTCGGAACCCCTCGAAACTACCCCGACATTTCTCTTGATTAAGTTTCTCTGAAACTGCAAAAATGCTGTTTTATCAGAAATGAATTATAACCCATAAAAACGCCCAGATTGCTCAAAACATGGCCTCAAGGCTATCCGGCCGTATAGAGTCTCAAAACCGCAACGAAAACAATTTTCAACTAAATTGGAGAAGCTTTGCTATAACTTTTGATCATGATAGTTGTCACGTGAATATTGCCCTAATGCCAATAGCCTACATTAATAAGACTTGTATCAAGGCAGTATAGCCCGGGCACCAAAAAGGTAATATAATCTTTTCTAGTTAAATGATCCATGTCAGATGAAATAAAATGAAAGATCTCAAAATACATCAAATCTGGAGTTTTGGAAAACAAAATCCAGGGACTAACCCACATTACCATTGCATTCCATGATATATATTTATATTCTATGTTCATTTAACATAATGTTATATCAGCGCAGCATCATTAATTTTCATTGTAAACTGTATTCATGTATCTCCTTTTCATAAAGGGCAATAAAGATATACATACACACATTCATGACTGGGGAGAATTAAGAAGGTTTAAAATGGGGATAATCGAACTCATTTTCCATCTAAAGAGCTGAACTTTTCACTTGTTAGAGAGAATTCGTGGCTTTGTATAAAAAACCTCCTACCCACGTACCCTCGTACCCACGTACGTGGGTCCTGACCCAGTCTTTAAAGAGTTAAATTTTTAAATGTTTAAAACATTATTCAATCTCAGTTTATCCTGAATTATAGATGAATTTATGCGGGGTCAACCCAGTTGTCCGAAACCCAGTTGTCCGAAACCCAATTCTCCGAAACCCAGTCGTCCGAAACCCAGTTCTCCGAAAATTAGGGGATCTTATCAAAAAATACAATTTCTTAAAACGAATCTTGTCGCAACCTCTGCGAATCACGACAGCATAACATTTGAATCACGTTGACATCAAGACGTTAATTAGCCCACGAAAGTTCATGGGTAACTTGAGAACTACAAAATACAACCAAATACTTTTCGAACGTACAATAGCAATATTTCTCACCTAACGTCTTAGTTTTAGGAACGTATTTTAAACGCATGATAGCCAAATATATCAAGATACTACGTATATCTGCCTAAATGAAGTTATCTAGTGTTGACAAAGTTTTGAAATATATTTTATCCAGATCCATCAGAAATTAACTTATCCAATACATTACTTTACTAGTTCTAGTATCTTGCATGACTCGTTCATAAGAATTCTTTAATTCTACCTCGTTCCCAATACGTCCTTAGACAGACAAGAAATTGAAGTCACACCCGTTTGTTTGCGTGGCATATTTATACGTATACGCAATTTCTCTGATTATTGTCAAACAAATACATTTCAGGAGAAGAACATAAAAACAAATGCCTGAAACGAATGTCGAAACATAAATCCCAATTGATTAAGTTTAGAATGTTTTATTCTTTTACGATTTGATATAAGAGACCGAGACTAAGAAATTAAATGCGACGAAATATTTTGACAACGTAATTTGTATACTGTTTTATTCTTAAAGTTCTATGCGATAACTTATTTTATCTGTTTCAAAATGTTTCATTTTATTTTGCCTATATAAAAGAGATTGAAGAAGATAAGATAAATTGTTCCGTAATATATATTGTGTTTTAATAACCTTTTTTAGAATCACAATGTAAAATAAATCTCCCGTTCCTGCCATTCTGGTTACGCCATGCAATGGATGCAATTCAAAGTGAGAGAGAGATCTATGAATATCAGAATGCGTCCATGCCATTAATTTGGCCAAATGCATGGCATGAAACTGACGTAAGCTTGCTTAAGTAAGCTACGCCCCCCCCCCTTTCTCTGGTAAATTATGACTTTATTTTTCGGAGTAATGGGTTTCGGACAACTGGATTTCGGGGAATTTGGTTTCGGACAACTGGGTTTCGGAGAACTGGGGTGTACCCAATTTATGCATCCATATGCCTTTATTTATAGGTCTGACATCTCTCTAGTAAAATAAAATAAAGCCGGAATTGCATAAATGTTCACTATTTTTGAGCTATTTGATTTATGTTTTTGATATGTCGAAATGTTTTTTGTTGATCGGGCAGTCTTACCTGTATAACACATCAGTGCTGATTAGCAATCTCCTAGCCTTCGTTCAGTGCAATCCGTGCCTCCTGTTACCTCATGCAGATTGTAAATGTCCCGGGAAGTTTACCCTTGTCCAAAAGTTGACATCTTTTTAAAAATATATTTCTTAGAGTTTCCAACCAATTAAATTCACCACATTTTATTAGATGTTTATTTCAAATGTTATTAGAATTCATTCTTAATATTATACTATTAACGTAGTCAAAGATTTGGTGTCGTTGTTGTCCATTGTATTCACGTTTTACGCGCAAAAAGCGCATTCAAACCAGTTTTACATCAAATCATTGTCAAAATAAAACTCTACTCTTCATATTACCTAATTATGGATCAAACGGCCATGAATAATGTCGAAGTTTACAAAACCAAACTTACACTCCCCTGCATAAGTTTGGCAACTCTAACTTTTAATTCCATCTAAATGATTCACTGAACTAGTGCGCACAGTTATCCTTAAATTGTGCCAAAAAGCGATTAAAAACGAATATAGCGAATCCTTCTACTTTTCAAATATTTCGTTATTCAATTGCGTCACGGTTAAACAGAAATGCAGCCTTTATTATTCCTTGAGATCGTGTGAATTAATCACTCTATCACTTTGTATCTCCAATTCTGATGTTAAAGGTGCAATAATTAGTGCAGAGGCGTCATTCAACGATCATGGACCAGTGTCAAAATATATTTAAGTTTGGATATTTCATCAAGACTAACATCTATTTTTATTATCTACAAAGAAACCCCCTAGATAAACATTATTTTAGCTGATATTCCTCTTGAAACATGGTGGATCTTAAAAATATAAAAGTGGAAGTCCCCTTTTTCAAGCTTTGAACTGAATTTACACTTCTTAATGCTGAAATTGATAATTTATCCATACATTTTAAGAAAATAGGTATGTCAAAGAAGATGTTAAATCAAATGTTGCCTTGATAGCTCAGAAAAAATGATGCGATTCCCAAGGATAACTGCCCCTTCTCAATATTGATTTTCCCAGGAACCTAATTGCAACTACTTACACCATAACACGTGTACCTTTATGTTTTCTTGAGCACTATTAATAAGTATTGCCGGGTTCCGTATGTCAAAGTCTAAGAATATTCAAGTTCAAGTTAAAATTCAATCCAAGCTATATACTGCTGTTTCCAATAATGTGGTTTGTTTCTTGAAAAGAGAACTTCATTTTCTTATGCGCTCTAGCACGCCATGGGGTGGGCATTTAGATTTAATTGTTCTCTCTAATACCATTGTGCCAACACTAAGATACTGTATATTTAAATATTCATATTTTATTTCGAGATATAATACGAACACAATTACAGCATTGACGTCAACAATAATTACAATAACTTCACATGATTCAACTCAGTTAAACCAAGTTACACAACCAGATATACATGTATCAAAACACAAAGTAGACTATATGCACATGTATGATGCGACATCTATATTCAAACATTAATGCCAACTGAATAGAAAAGTTGTGTATACGCATTCAGATTCTACAATTTAAAATCATTAAATGACATTGCAATATGATAGATGAGTTTGGCAATCTTAAATCCTGTTTTGCAGATAAGAAACCAACTAAACAGGCTAGTTTACACGCAGTCCAACAAGACATTTGTTGCCTTAATTACTTCTTGAATGTACGTCTTTTCTTTGGCTTTAACTATGATATGGTACAGCTTGTAGTGTTTCGTCTTTGTTTCTTTAACTCTTCTATTGTCTTTATTTGTTTCTTATGAGCGTCAGCAGGCATACTTTGTCTCCTTCTTGTGACAGCCGGGCTCAACGCGTACTGAATGTTCGATTGAATTAATACTTCTTTAAAGATACCTACGATGTTCTGATTTTCCTTCGCGGATGCTTCTACGTATCCATGACTCCATTCATCCGTAGCGATAGAATATACGTCTTCTGTTGATACTTTCCTTTTACTACCACCAATGTCTGCTTTATTTCCGACAATAACTACAGGTGCAGAACCGTCAATTCGTTCTTCCATTATCATCGTACGTAGTGCCTTGACTTCCTCAAATGATTGAGGGTTGTCAACTGCATACACAAGAATGAAGGCGTCACTCGTTTGAATGGACAGATTTCTCATAGCGGGAAATGAAAACGCTCCCGATGTATCAATTATATCCAATATCATTTTATGTCCATATATTTCATATTCTCCCCTGTAGAAATCCTCGACAGTTTGATTGTAATCCTCTAAGAATTTATCGTAGAGAAATTGCGATATGATACTCGATTTTCCCACACTTGCGCCACCCATGATACAAATGCGAAAATGTTCGGTGGAAAAAGTTTTTGAGCCTTCTGATGAACTGTTACTTGATGTGGAGCTTTTACTCGCGTTTGAAACATCACTTACATTAGAACCTCGTCGACTCGATCGCAATGATGCCCCATGATCCTCGGAATCGGTCCTCTTTCTTGACCTGGCTCTGTGCCTGGCTCTCTCGCGCGCTATACTTATATGGGCGTCAGATTGTACGTTCTTGTCTGTCCTGGTCTCAAAACCAGAAGCTTGTGCATGTTGCTCAGAATGATCCCCTTTCAATTTGTTTTCCTCATTTTCATTGGGAACACTCTCCTCCTCGATTGACTCGTGTCGGATTCTGTTCTGTTGGAATTCGAACGCTGTTGAATCCGATTTCGCCAGGGGAGATATAGACCTCGAGCTACCGCTACTCGATCCAACACTACTCGAGCTAGACCGTCTGCGTCTTTCAAAAGATCCAGACCCCCATCTTGGTCGGTGGATTGTAGCATGACCTTCAGGAATATCAAATATATCATCTGCGTCATCATCGTCATCATCGTCATTCAATCCAAGGCCACCCGATGTTTTATTTGTGGCAATGTCACTATCGAAATTATAGGATACTGTTTCTTTTTCCCGATCGCCTGCATATTTTACCTTTTCAAATACGTAGTTCTCGAGTATGTTGTCATCGTTGCTTCGCTCTTTCTTCTGTTTGACTGCACCTGTTGCATGTTTCACATTCATCCGTGCCGATTCGAATTCCTTATTGAGGCGAGCTCTAAATGAAGAAGTGTCACTCTCTGAATGAGATGGATTAAAATGGAATTGGCCATCCGATACTCTTCGATTCAATTTGGGCGGCACGAACGACTGAGGAGTTATCGCACTGGAATGGCGTCGGGGAGCCCAGATGTGTTGGCTTTGCTCCATTAGGCACTTCTCTAACTTCTTTGAGACGCTATTAGATTCCGTGAGGCTCGTCTCGATCACTCGCTTCAAGTCGTTAGACTGAAGCTGGTAATAGCTGTAAACCTTTGGTCGCTCCATATCGATCAGTTATTATTTTCTCAGGTCCAAAAGTCGTTTGTAGGTAGCAATTCTAAATCTCAATTATTGCCTTTTACTAGTACCCCGGGATTATATCACTAGCATGTGCAGTCTTTAACTTCGACTCGAGTGAGATGTGTACCTTTTGGCAGAATCGTAGAAAACTGCATCATCTTTCGCCTGCAAATATATATATCATAATATCTGAGCAATAATGACGTGAAGTGAATTTATATAAGCGATGCGAAGTAATAACTTGTTCGTGTTAGCACATTGTACTACAAGAAATTAACAACATGAGTAAGATAATTTATGTTAGGGCTTGTACCCTTCTAATGTCTGAAGTCTACTGAAAACGGCGCAACGTCACCAAAGTCGAAGTTCTTGCTATCACTAATTGTATAAATCAGAGTCAGATAGTGACATGGCGTTGTCATTACAAATTTTATGCCGACTGTCTTTACAGTGAGTAAAGAACGTTAGAAAAATAATATTAAAAGATTATAATCAAAGTTTACAGTAGTAGAATCGAATTATACTCGAATCAGTAGTTCTACTAAGTTTTATTTAGGAAATGAACGACTTTCAGAAGATCCTGTAAGCCGATAAAACTAGAATACTTTTACTTTTATGGGTCAAATTTCCATAAAAGCTTCTTTTTCCATGTCGATATTAATTGAATTGTTGCTATAAATGTCTTCTATTTCAAAGCAACCTTTGGCCCATTGTTCTTACAATCTGAATCAATAAATATCTATAGAGTGTAACCTTAAGTTATAGAATAGAAGAGCAAATTAAAATTCCCAGGTCATAACATCATCCACTCTGACAACATTCAATTCAAAAGCAGATGAATCCACAAGTATCTTGTTTTGATCCGATTACTTTTTTTTAAATATTCTAATGTATGTATTGTGTATACGTATACCTTCCCCTTCATAAGTTTAGGAGAAAGAAGTTTTCATGTGACAGCTTGTTAAAACCTGATAAATGTTTGTATGTTTATTTTGTTCTTCCTTTTAATTTTAATAGGGAAATGAATAGTTTGTTGCTTCGTTTTAAATCGTGTAGAATCTTTATATTCTATCGACAATTTTCCTTTAATCCATCGTTTCCTACAGAAAACTGCACTAAAATTGTTTACCATAGAAGGTATACAATTTGCCTATTAGAAGTAGATTCGCCTTGTCCATTCAAAATCAGGACACGGCGTTGTATCCATCAGTGTTAATGAGTGGTGGTAAGTACATGGTAGGCGCTAGTTCTAATTGAGGAAACAAATGTTAGGAAAGTGACACATCTGTCAAAAGAAATGCTGTAATTGCAATTCAGCGATCAATTGTAACACGAACTTAAGTTTTAATTAGGAGGACAATTAGACGGATGACTACGAAATACATGTACGATCAGTGTTGAGTTATTGTTGACTAATTATTCAATAAGAGATGTTATCATTTAGAGTGATCAAATCGAAACAATCCATTTTCATTACTACTAAAGTACAGTATCAGAGGCTAACTTCATTTTCTTGTCAAACTACATATATGTCTCCAGTTGTAAAAAAGCTCAGTGGTCAGATTTTGATCCTTTTCCAAACATGGCACATTTTTAGAACCTTTAAGACTCGCGATCTTCTTTATTTTGACTTTTGAAGATTGACCTAGAAATTATAATGCTAGAGTAAAAGTCGTCTTGTTTATCCTCCATAATGATACGTATACTAATACTCCGTTCAATCAAATAGTGCGTTACTCATATTTATAAAATATAGGGCACCTAACAATCTTCGGTATAACACTGTCTTGACAAAAATAATTACAAACGTATTATTTGTCTCAAAGTGTGAGAAAATCTATCTAAAATGTAGTTAATAGGAATTTGCCACAGGAATTTTGAATGACCTGAATACTATCATCTTTGATTTTTTTAATTCGTTAGAATCTCAGAACACAGTAACATTGTGAGAAGCAATCGTAAATCGACAATGATTCCATTTATACGAGCAACAGTGTAGTTGAGGCAGAGTTGGGATGAGCGTAATTGAAAGTTTTATATTTTTCAATAATCATTGATTATTATATCTAACAGTAAAGTTGTAACATGGATTTATTTTTCTCGTTTAATGGTTAGGATAGTCTAGGTTAGGATACGCTCATTTAATACTTAACGACGTTATTCACAAGGTTTCATCGTAAGAAATCAATTATTTGATGATACGTTAGGATTTGAAAATATATCTTATTGTTAACCCTAATCCCGACCATCTTACAATGTTCACATGCGTCATGCTTCAATCTTAGTCAGAGAGTGACCTGATATATCTACGATTCAAAGGAAATGTGCCACAAACAGGGTGTTCCAAAGTAACCTAACTGCGCTGCCATTGCATTCTATCATAATTTGCTAATTAATAAACTAATTAATTGAACTGAATAAACAGAAAATGTAGTTAAGCCGTTCTTTGTAAACTATAGCATTACAGGTATTAAAGAACAAGACGTTAACATGACAAAAACAAAATATCGACCACAAAAAGTTGGAGACTATAACAACTTGTGGTGACATAAAAATGAAAAATAAGAAATTCTTTTAATGCGTTTCTTTCTCTATTTTATACTTGTTTTAACATGTTAAAACACGCCAATTACATAACATGTATTCTAAGCAATATATACTCTGAGTATGACAAAGATTTCATCCAACCATGTGCTTATGGATTATACAGGATGTCCAGGAAGTGAAGTTATAAATGGTTAAGTTTTGATTTACCTGTTTTTCATATTGATTCACACGGTTTCAGTAGCTCAAACTTGTGTTATAACACCTTGCAAGTCAAAGATGCGTTTTCTTAAAATAAGAGCATTTGTGAATGTACTTTTTGCACACCCTGTAATGGACTGTATTGAAATCAATCCTGATACTAAGAAACTAAGACTAGTATTCGAAATCAGTATCGATGTGAGTTTAGGATGTAGAAACCGCGTAACAACCATTGTGACTAGTTGAATTGTTTAAAGTTTTTAATTTTATATCCTTAATCCTGATACTTCCCCATTTTAATGTGAGTCTGGTAAACGAGCTTTACGATTTACAATTGCGACATAATATTGATATCCGAAAGAAAAAAGGATGCAAATGATTTAATTTTAAGTGATAATATTACTTTTAAATGCCATTTCAAAAAGAAATTGACATTTATACATGATTTGTAAAGTTTATCCTTATATCATATCAGTAAATTACTCGCACACGTTTTAAATAGTTTTCTTAATTGCTGTCTCGGATGACCTTTTCAATATATCAAAGAATAAAAATGTATGATACAATCATTATACTCATAATTACTTCTTTTTACACTTGACCTTGCAGCTTGCTCGTCTTGTTAATTGAACGATGCATTTTAATCAATAGGGACGTTCTTTCACTTATTAAAGGGACTCATTATGGTTTTACAGCATGTAGTGATGATAATTGCACTAATCTAGTGCATAACTATGTTCAAGAGGGCGTTCTTCTGATTTTAAAATGTTTCAGCATCGGCCTTTGGTAGAATTTCAAACTCTGTGGAATATGTTCTTCAAAAACCAATAACATATTAATTAATTTTCTTAAAAGGCAATAACATATTAATTGATGTTCTGAAAAAGCAAAAACATACTAATTGATGTTCTGAAAAAGCAATAACATATTAATTGTACGAACTGCTAATTGTGTTTTCTGTAAATGTCGTTTTGTAAAAAAAGGCAATGGCGGAGCTTATGAAAGACGAATTAAGCTAAATCCTTTTTAAGAAGTATACATGTGATATTGTCACCTACTCGTATGTCAATTTTTCATTTTCTATGATCATCACTTTTTATCAGAGGTCATAATGTCATTTTTCTTAACTTCAAATAATATTCTTTATTGACATTTAACTCAGCGCTTCATGCTATATTCTTCATTCGTGAGCTCGGGATAATGCTTGAGTATATGATTCAAGGATGCTGGGAAAAAAAGAATAAAAGGTGTGTGGCATTTTTTGGTCATTTTCGCGTAATATTTGGTTTCTTGTTTTCTTCGCATTAAGAAATTTGGACTGTCAAAATGTCAAAAACTATAACATGTGTATACGTATGACGTATTACCAAGTGTTTCAATTAAACATGTATTCATTCCCAAACGTTTAGGTAAACATGTTTATAGTGCCAAGTGTTTCAGGTAAACATGTATTCATTCCCAAACGTTTTAGGTGAACATGTATATATTCCCAAGTGTTTCAGGTAAATATGTATATATTCCCAAGTGTTTCAGGTAAACATGTATATATTCCAAAGTGTTTCAAGTAAACATGTATATATTCCCAAGTATTTCAGGTAAACATGCATTTTTATATTCCCAAGTGTTTCAGGTAAACATGTATATATATATATTAGTATGTATATTCCAAAGTGTTTTAGGTAAACATGTATATATTACCAATGTTTCAGGTAAACATGTATATATTACCAAGTGTTTCAGGTAAACATGTATATATTGCCAAGTGTTTCAGGTAAACATGTATATATTCCCAAGTATTTCAGGTAAACATGCATATACGAGGGGTGATCAATAAGTAATGGACGCTTTTTTACACAGATGCTGTTTATAGACCAATCCCTTCGATTTTCTTACCAGTGATTCATCATTCAATTATCTATCAACTCTGAAGATTTGAAGACATTATATATATTACATGTTGATATATCCTTATTTCCGTGAAGGAGGTACAGGTACCCCGGGACCGACATTTACGTCACATATTCTGAGGCTATTTAAGATTGTTTAACATGCAATGCAGTTGAATGCAGGCTGAACAAAACCAACCATTATGGTCATGAATTATCCCATTTTGTTATGCCATAGTTGATTTTGAATATTTTATCATCACTAGGTGGTATTCATGCCACATTCATTCCACAGGCCCCTCTAAATAGGTTCCATCAAGTGCTACATGTACACAATTCCTCATCCTCTTAACTCAAGATTGTGAGACAAGGCTGAATCAATTCTCTGACATGGTAGCAAGATGCAGTTGCAGGGGTTGTTTTATTTCATCAATGTCAATAAACGTCCATTCCATGTGTCCATTCTCTATAGAAATAAGTAGTATAGAAATAAACAAGTCACATGTGAGCAGATCTGGACAATATGGTGCATTG